TTCGGATAATTCTATCCTAAAAGAGGCTTATTTATAATATTCTTCTACTAATAACTTTATTCTTCAAGAAAACCGAGAACTAATAAGACTCTAGTAAAACTAGCTCTAAAATAGAGTTTAAGTTAGATATAGAGGCTAGTTCCGGCTCTATAGACGATTTGGGCTCTATAAACGGTTCTATAGACGGTTTTATAAATAATATAGGCTCTATAAACAAGCTTAGTTTAATAAACAGTTCTCTTAATAGTTCTATAAATGGTTCTATAGACGATTTTGGGTCTGAGGCTAGTTCTAGAGCCTCAAGTAATAGCTATTAGTCGGATAATAACTATTAAAAACTGGCCGTTTTAGGAGTTTTATTAAAATCCCATTTCCTTTATATTTTATATATTTAAATAAGAGTATTCAGATTTGGTTTCCGGAAGAGTAATATAATAGTACTAGCTAGGGAAATAGCTATTATATAACTAGTTTTATCTAGCTAGCTAGTATTTCAGTTATTTTAGCTAGTATTTTTTTCTTTTATTTCCTTTCCTTTTCTCTCTTCCTTTTTCTTCTCTTTAGCTTAGTATTTTTAATATATGAGATTCTTGGATCTTTAAGCCCTGGCTATTACTTTAATCCCGCTATTATAATAACCTTAAAATACTTTTTTCTAAAAGATTAATAATTTTAACTTAATAGGAATTCTTAAATAGATTATTATTCTATAAAAATATTATAATATCCGGGTTTTTATAAAAGTATTCTTTATTATATTTTAGTAAAATAGTAGAAATAATTAATGAATTTATATTTATATTACTTTTAGATTTAAGTATACTAATTTTAATATCTTTTATAAAAAAGAACTTTATAGAAATTAAATAAAAAATATTATTATTATATAATAAAACTAATATATAATTTAAATCTTCTAAATTTTTATTATTATATTTTTAAATACTACTAATTATTATAATATAATTAATAATAAGATATTATATTTAATTATTTAAAATAAAGTATTATAAATTAAAATAATTAAAATAAATACTATTAAGTTTATAGATTTATTAATAGCCTTAAAAGTTATTTTTTAAAAAAATAGTATTTTTATTAATTCTATTAATTTTAGCTATAATAATAAAATAAATATATTAAATTAAACTATAATAGTATTTTATAATTCTAATAGAAGTATAAGCTTTTATAAAAACGATTTTAACTTTAATTCTTATAATATTTATAAGCTAAATAAACTTCTTAATAATAAATTACTTTCTAATATCTATTATAATTTAATTAAAAGAACCTAAATAAATATTAATTTAATACTATTTTAGGGTATTTTAAAGCTATTAGCCGATTTAATATTAAATGCCTTTATTAATAATAATAGAATAATTAAAGCTAATATTATTTTTTAGATTAAATTTAAATTATTTTAGTAATTATTCAAAGCTCTAATATTATTTATAATACTTTATAAGGTATTTAAAAGACTTTATATATTAATTTTATAGCTTGTTTATTCTAGTATATTTCGAAACTTATTAATAAATAAATAATTAGAATAATAATATAAATATTATAATTTAAATTTTATAAAAAAGAAAAAATTATAAATAAAGAATTCGGAAATAAAGCTTTATAATATAATATTTTAAAATATTATATTATAAGTATATAGTATTTAGTAAAAGTAATAAAATAATTAATAAAATTATTAAAGTAAATTCCTAGCTTATTTATATTAATTAAACTAAATAAAAATAAAATCTTTATAAATATAATATAAAATTATATTTATCTAATTAGTATTCTTATTATTATAAATCTAATAAAGAATATAAATCCGATATTAAACTGGATATTAATTTAATCTTTAATAGTTTTATTAAATTTAATACTATTATTAGTTTATTATAAAGCTTGAAATTAGGTAAAACTAGTAATTAAAAATCTAAAAGCTTTAATATTAATTATAATTTTATAAAAGTAATAAATATTAACTTTTAATATATTATTAATTATAAATATCTAAATATTTTTCATTTATTTAATAAGCTTTAAAATACAGTTTTTGCCTATTATCTAATATATAAAAGAGAAAAAAATAAGGTTATTTATAAAAGTATTAGTTATAAAAATAATAGAAATAATAAAAGTAAATAAAAAGGTTTTAATTAAAAGAAAATAGAAATTTAAATAATATTTCTTTCTTTTGTTTATTTCTATTACTTTTATAATTATTTTCTTTTTTAATTCTAGTAATATGCTATATATAAATAATATTTAGATCTTTTATATATGAAACATAATTTCGAAATATAATTATTATAGGTTTCGAAGTTATAATTAAATCTATATTAAGAATTTTCGAATAAATAATAGCTTAGATAGTTTTAATAATAGTATTACTAATTAATAAAATAAATATTAATATTAATTTATATTCTATTATTTATATTTCGAGTTTAGTAATTATATATATAATTCCTAAAGAAATAGCTATATTAATACTAATTAATAAAGTAATTAAGCCTCTAGAAATCGTTATTACTAGAGAAAAAAGAAATAAAAAAACATTATTTTATAATAAGGTTCTTATAAAGGCTTTAGCTAATTAGAAAAAAATATAAGATTTATTATATAATAGTAAATTCGATTAATATTTGAACTTTTATAATTAAATAATTAAATAGTACCTAAATTATAATTAAATATTTAAGTAATATAAGTAATTCTTTATTTCAAGAATTAGATATTTAAATTTAGGTTTATTATTTTATTAAACCCAAATTACTAATTCTTTTTTCAAAGAAAATTTAATAAAAAATATTATTATAATAATATAAAAAACCTTTTAATATACTCTTTTATATTAAGTTAGTATATTAAAAAAATAATTAAGGTAATTAATTATATTTAATTAAATCAAATAAATAATTAATTATAATTTAATTATTAACTTTTAAAAAAATTTAATTATTAGAAAAATTATAATTAAATATAATAAATTATTTCTAATTATTATATAAAACCCATATAAAAGTTATATAAGTAATAAATTCTTTTCTTTTTCTTTAAATAATATATAACTAAAATATAAAAAGAGTAAAGATTAATTAATTTCTAAAGAAGAAAGAATGAAAGCAAGGTAATATATATGTGAATTATTTGCTCTATATATTACATAACTATACTCAAGTAACTAGAGAAGTCAAAACCCCTACTATAGTACTTATTTATAAAGATAAGTAAAGTAAATAAAGGCGGGATACTAGCTATTAAGCTTATAATAGTAAGGCAATATATAAATTAGAGTAAAATATATTTTACTTTTGTACTATAACGCTTATATTATCTTTGTAGTCACGTGTAATAACACGTGACCCAGTAATTAATTATATTTAATTAAATTAAGCAAATAATTAATTATAATTTAATTACCGGCCAATAATTATAATTAATTAAATTATATATTACTAAAAATATTTAGGATATTATATAAGATATTTAATTAAGTATATAGATATTAGTAAGAAATAAAAATAATAGAATAAAAATTAGTAAAAAAATACTAAAAATGTTACTAAATAAATAATTTTAGTAATAATATATAGTTTTAAAGTAATATATAGTTTTAAAGTAATATATAGTTTTAAAGTAATATATAGTTTTAAAGTAATATATAGCTATTAGGGAATTGAGAATACTATAAAGTATTAGTATTTAATAGGAATTAAATATTAAGATTTTAATTTTGGGCGGTTGAGTAATTTGGGCGGTTGGCCAGTGAAACCTCCAAATGTGGCAATGTCTCACCGGACGAAGGGATACTTGTATATCGGAGACGGGTGTTGCTACTCTCCCCCTTTTACAGGGGGGCTTTTACAGGGGTTTTAGCCAATCAAAAAGCTTAGAATCTTTTTAGATTCTCTCTATAACCGATTCCCCGCACAAAAACACGCGCTTAAGAAAAACACTTTTACAAGTAAAGTGTGCGATACAAGGGGGGCCCCATGCTAGTGCTATTACTATCTTGATGGGCCGTACCACCGTAGTGAAAGCACGTGCACACCCTGTCTACTAAACTTTTAGGTGTAAAAGCCTCTATGGCAACAGCACAGCGACATATGATTGCCTTACATGAGCCCAACCCGATGCGTCCGCCCCCTTTACTTTGAATTTTAGACTCGTAGACCGCACGAGGTAGCCAGGATCGGGTCTTGTCCCCATGTCAGCGGTTCCTCATCAAACATCGGCTCGAGAATGGACCGTTCGGCTGCCGGAACACTCTCCCCCTAATTAAATGTACCAGTGAGTCCACAGAGCACAGACAGTCTACTTTACCATACAAAACGCCCCGGTCAGAGGTCCCACGTTCTAGTTTTATTAGAAGAGGGGGTGGGGGCGAGAGTACTGAACAGGCAGGCCGTCTAAATCCGAGGGTGTGGGAGCAGCCTAATGCAGTAAGCCAGGGGTGAGGCATGCTTTCCAAATCTCCGCTCAGCCTTGCGAGGGGGCCACCTCCGTACCGTAATGGTGGGCTGATTCCAGTTCGGAAAGAGGGGAGGGGAGCCATGTCAAAGGTAGTGAATGGAGGCTTGGGGGGCAGACAGGGGGCGTGGATTGCGGTTGCCGTGCCTTGGAGCACCGTAAGTTCCCATGCGTCTCCCGCGCAAGTTTGTGAACTAAAATCCTCGTGGCCCACTGTAGCGCGGTCCACATAGGCACTCCCTGCCCTCAGGGTCCGCAGACGTAAGTCAAATTTCATCAAGCCATGGAACTGTGATCAATCAGCTTTGCGATTACCATCTGGAATAAGAATTTTGAAATGGCTGGTTTACAAGTGATGGCGCTAAGGATAAAACACTGTTTTTTGGGCACTCGTAAACCTGAGATTCTATCATCAATTATATGCTCTTTTGCACGACCTCAATTATCCTCTCAACAAAGAATTCAACCTTTCAACCAAAACGAGTGACCGCCTTGTGATACCTTCAGTCCTTGCTATGGCTGCAAATCGCATTCTCCTGTTTGGGGACACATCAGATGCTCCAGTTGCCCCAATTCGACAACTGCTTGCAAAGTCTCGACATTCGAATAACACACAGCTTTTTATACGTAATGCCGTAGAGGCCGTCGGACAAGAGATTCAGACGTTGCCACCGTCAGAGCGCGATTCAATGGGAGTGATTCACAGTATACAAGACTTGCAAGAGTGCCATGAATGCAGGAGAGATCATATCGGCATTACCCGAATGGTTTTGCCGTTTGTGGCTTGTATTGGGGAACTTATTTTGTAGGTGAAAATCATCTTAGAGATGGTTTTCTTTACCCGTTTTGCATTTGATACTAAGTAGTTTTTAGGCATGCAGAAAAAGATCCGTTATTATTGATGGGCATTGATAACTCATCCCCAGTTATTGCCCTAGGCATCTGTTCAAGCATGCTTGCAGCAGCGGCAGCCGCTGTTGCTAATGACGTTGGTGAACTGATTGAAGTAGCTACATACCTGGCAGTAGTGGCTTGTCGCACAGCTGTGCAAATTAGACTCCGAGGGATACAGATAGAACCTGGCAGCGGAGACTGGGCATTCGCAGCTCTTGGTGAAGTTGTAACCCATCTTCCTTTGATTTTAGATAACTTCCACAAAGATCAGGTAGGGCAATGTTTCCCCTCGTCCATGACGCTCCAACAAAAAGAAGAGAACTCAGCTGACCTTTCTAGGCAATCCCAAAGCATAGAGAAGCATATATCGGCATTCAAGCAACTTCTTGGGCCACTGTCTTTGGTCCACCATCGATATTGGAAAAGCTCATTGGCAGCTCTCTTGCATTGAAAAACACCCACATCGTGACGCTTCCTGCCTTTGGCCCTGTGCATGCTGTTCATTTGGGAAGTCCAAACTTTGAATACATGATAGGAGAGACGCACCTTCTTCAGAAAAAGCTCAAGCCGAATTACCAACTGATCTCAGCGACTACGAACAGACCGTTGGTCGGCCCAATCTTGCTAGACTTGCTACAACACTGCTTGGAGGATATATTTCAACATTGCGCCAATCCCGAACTGGTGTTCGAGGCCGGTATATCTCTCCTAAACAGAGAACAGCAAACTTCTCTCTTTACCCTTGGAGACACCAGCTATCTCCCATTATTCAAACGCATGTTACAAAGGAAACGCTTAAAAGTAGCATTGAAAACCCAAATTTCGACTCAAGAGATCTTCGATAGTCAAGTTGGATCCGATTCAATTGCTATTGTTGGGATGTCGGGTCGATTCCCTGGGTCTGATACCGTTGAAGAGTTATGGGCAAGCATCATGGAGCGGAAAGACTTTCACAAAAAGGTAAGGTCCACTGAACTTAGAGGAATTTATTGTTTGATTGGCGGGCATTCACTGACTCATCCAGATTCCCTCTGACCGATTCGACGTGGACAGTTATTTTGACGAAGAGGGACGTGCAAAGAATGCCATCATCACTCCATATGGTTGCTTCTTAGAGCATCCTGGCCTCTTCGATCACAAATTGTTCAACGTCTCTCCTCGAGAGGCCATCCAGATGGATCCTGCGCAACGCTTGCTGATGCACACAACTTATGAGGCACTCGAAGATGCCGGTGTGACCACCAATGGAAGTCGCGCAACTGATGGGAAACGTGTCAGCACTTTCATTGGCATCGGATCTGATGACTGGAAGGAAATGCTTGAATCTTTGGGGGTAGACATTCACTGGGTACAAGGCACTCAACGAGCCTTCGTGCCGGGACGTCTCTCTCACCATTTCAAATGGGAAGGTGCTACAACCTGTGTTGATTCTGCTTGTGGTTCAGCGGCAACAGCAGTTGGATTGGCATTTAAGGCCCTCATAAATCGGGATTGCGACACCGCTATTGCCGGAGGTGCTAATATCATTACTACCCCATTCTATCACTCCGCTCTCAGCAGAGGTGGCTTTCTGTCCCTGACAGGTGGCTGCAAAACATTTCGGGAAGATGCGGATGGATATTGTCGAGGAGAGGCAGTTGGCGTACTAGTTTTGAAAAGATTAGACGATGCTCTGCAAGATAACGATAACGTTATCTCAGTTATTCGAGGCTATGCTCGAAATCATTCGGCAGAGGCAACGTCTATTACGCATCCCCATGCCCAAACGCAAGAGCGGCTTTATAGATCTCTTCTACACAAAACTGGGCTAGAGCCTCACGATATTGAATACGTGGAAATGCACGGGACTGGAACGATTTCGGGCGATACTACAGAGTTGGAGTCCATTGCTAATGTTTTAGCAAAAGCGGGCAGCCGTCAGAAGCCGCTGGTGGTTGGTGCTATCAAGGCAAATGTGGGACACTCGGAAGCGGTTGGTTTCTCCTAGAAGACCCGAGCATTGTGGAAAACTTTACTGACAATGTCCAGACAGCAGGAATTCTATCTTTAATTAAAGGCGCTATGGTGCTCCAAAAAGAGACGATACCAGCACAAGTTGGCATCCCCCAAAAACTAGCACATTACCCTTGTTTGGAGAACGGTCAGGTACTTGTTCCGGGAGATTCAATGCCATTTTCGTCAGTTGGTAAAGCCAAGAGGAGGCTCCTCGTCAATAATTTTGATGCTGCTGTACCTTGAGTCCTATCTGTTAGATGTTGAGTAGTCGCGATGGCTAACGTGACTGTAGGGCGGCAATAGCTGCTTCGTTCTTGAAGAGCCGCCTAAGCGTGAGACTAAAGGCTTAGATCCACGAGAATTCCACGTCGTCACGATTTCAGCGCACAGTACGGCATCGTTCGATCAGAACAAAAGACGTATGCTTCAATTTCTCGAGGAAAATGTCAACACCAGCCTGGCCAACCTTGCATATACGACAACTGCACGGCGGAATCACCATCCTTTCAGAGCTGCATATTGCGGAGCCAGCACTGAAGACATTGTTGAGGCATTGAGAAGTGACCTCAATGGTGTGGCCGGCGTGGTTCAACAGCTCAGCAGTCCGCACAAGAACACACCAGTGGTATTTGTCTTTAGCGGTCAGGGTGGGCACTATGCAGGAATGGGCAAAGATCTCTTCAGAACTTCCGACCAGTTTCGAGGGATAATTGCTGAGCTAGAACAAATTTGTGATTCCCTAGGATTTCCCTCGTTCGCAAATTTGATTGCAGATCAAGATACGAGGATGGAATCCATCAGTATTGTTCAACTCCATCTATCTCTCGTGGCTCTAGAAATTGCTCTCACAAAACTCTGGGAGTTTTACGGCCTCAAACCGGATATTGTGATGGGTCATAGTATCGGCGAGTATGCCGCTCTTTGTGCTGCTGGAGTGCTTTCAATCTTCGATGCATTGTATTTGGTCGGCAAAAGAGCACAACTTCTAGAGTCCAAGTGCGTTGCAGGAACTCATGCAATGCTCTCAATATCTGGAACTGCGAATGAAGTTTCACTATTCCTGTCCGAGGGAGACCTCAAGGGTTGTGAAGTGTCATGTTACAATGGCCCCGGAATGGCCGTCTTGAGCGGCGGGCAACAGGAGATCCTGATACTAGAGACACTCTTAAAAGAACGGGGACTCAAGTGCCAGATGCTTGACATACCGTATGGCATGCACTCTTGCCAGATGGGTGCGATATCATTAGAATTTGGGGATATACTGGGTGGCGTGGTGTTCAGAAAACCCAAGATCAGGATGATCTCAACTCTTCTTGGTCATCAAGTCACGGAAGCATCATCTTTCGGAGGGGACTACCTAATCAGGCACACAAGAGAGCCAGTGAAATTTCAACAAGCTGTTGCCAATTGTCTATCCCAAGGGTTTGCAGATGCGTCATCGTTATGGCTTGATATCGGGCCGAATGCTTGCTGCCTGGGACTGGTTCGAGCGAATATCAATGTCAAGTCTTCACATGCCCTAGCAAGCTTGAGGAAAGGAGAAAACAATTGGAAAACGGTTTCTGTCAACCTCGCAACTTTATACATGGCCAAACAACCTATTCACTGGCGAGCGTTCCATAACGACTTTACCAACAACTTGTCGCATGTTGACCTTCCCAAGTATGCCTTTGATACGAGGGACTTCTGGATCACGTACAAAAGCAATGATCAACTATTACAAGCAAATGGCTTAATAGGAGAGAAAGATCCAGAACCAGAACCTATATCGACCTGCCTTCATCATTGCGTGAAACGCGTAGACGATGAGCACGAACAGTCTTCCTCTTTCACATCGACAATCTCACATCCTTCTCTCACTCAAATCATTGAGGGCCATAAACTTTGTGGCATTTTTGTATGCTCTGCCGGCGTCTTCATTGACATGGCTCTCACAGCAGCGCGACATCTTATAACTGGCGGCAATTTCGCAGCCCCGTGTCCAGCACTCTTGGTCTGTGACTTGAAAGTTGACCAAGCCGTGGTTACCACGTCTGAGTCTCCAAAAGTTATCCGCATCGAGGTTACGAGGAAAAGGTACCCGGGGCCCGAATTTTCAGTTTCATTCAGCAACGGTCCTGGGTCACCACCTCCTGCCTTCGCTAACTGTCTTGTCCGCCTCCGAGACCAGTCGATTTTCGATATTGAAACTCAAAAGCTATCTTTTTCGATTCGGCCAAAAATCGCCCAGCTGATGGACGCTTCTAAAGCGGAGCTCGCAGACAACATCCGTGGCAAAGTATTCTATAAATTATTTTCCAATCTTATGGAATACAGTGATATATTCAAGGGCGTTGAAAGCGCGGTTGTCAGCGACGACTTCAGAGAACTTATCGCAATTGTCCATCTTCCAGCATACGACGAACGGAGACTAGACCAAAGATTCACTTTGTCGCCGTACTGGAGTGACATCCTTGCTCAGACTGTGGGATTCCTTCTGAATGGAAATCCTGATCAAGCTGGTGACCATGTTTACATTGCCACGCACATAGAGCGCCTAGATCTCCACGTTCGAGATTTTTCGCCAGACGCTCGCTACCAGGTTCATGCATACATCGATCATTCAGATGAATTTACTTGCCGAGGAAACGCATATATACTTTACGAGGACATCGTTGTAGGTCTTTTGGAGGGCCTGCGATTCCGGAGAATGACGCGGAAAACTCTTCTTCATTCACTTGGAAAGGTCAACGCTCCACAGATCAAAAATGGTCCCCAAGGCAAGACCTCGGAAGCATCGGTGAAGTCGAACAGTGGTTCAGCAGGACCTGCAGTTCTTGGGGGAGGTCACAAAGCAAATGGGCACGCTGTATCGCTCGCCACCACGTTCCGGCAGATATTGCTTGATGAGACGAGGCTACTTGAGAGTGAAGTAGTGCCATCTGCATCTTTTTCCGAGCTTGGTGTAGACTCTATCTTTAGTATTTCTATCTTGGCGGCATTAAAAGCTGAGACGGGAACTGAGCTAGGCACTTCATTTCTCACAGAAAATCCGACGCTTGAGGATGCTGAACGGGCGCTGCGAATCATTGAAAATCAACACTCGACCTTGGCAAATTCGAATGCCTTGACGAATGGGCACACGAATGGGCATACGAATGGGCTTACAGATGGGGATGAAGCACCAAATTCTCCGAGAGAGAGTAACATCGTTCTACTTTCGGGTTCGGCGTGCACTCCTCCACGGACCTCTCTATTCCTGATAGCGGATGGAGCCGGCTCTGCAGCGGCTTATGTTCATCTGCCTAAATTCGCCAACGACCTCCAAGTCTTTGCACTTGAATCCCCATGGGTAAAAGACCCAAAGAATTTCACTTGCACGTTCAGCGAAGCTGCGGAAATGTATTTGGTAGCCATTCGTGCAAAACAACCTCGTGGGCCATACCTGCTTGGAGGCTGGTCAGGTGGGAGTGTCTTTGCCTATGAAGTTTCTCGCCTGCTGCTCGAGGCCGGTGAGAAAGTCATCGGTTTGATCATCATTGATATGCTCGCACCACGGCATGTCAACCGAAGAAAAGTAGCTATGCCGACACTTGATATCATCAAGTATATGGGGATGCTAAGCGGAATTGATCGGGTCGTATCTGACGTTTCTGCCCTGTCGCTTCAAATGAAGGAGCACATGTTGGCCACAGCAAGGTGTTTTAGTCGGCTGGATCCGACGCCCATGGCATCTGGTTGCCGGCCAGATGCCACCTTTGTCATCTGGGCCACTGAGCTTATCGGACCTGAGTCCAGTAACGACGGGAGTATCAACATGAAGGGACAGAATTTGGAGGCATGGTTCTATCCATCACAACATGACTTTGGACCCAACGGCTGGGATGTGCTCGTAGGGGACAAAGTGGAATGCTTTCAAACGCAAGGAGATCACTTCTCGATCATGAACATGCCATATGTAAGCTCCCTCGATTCTTCTTCCAAGTTTGATTGTCCGGGTGACGCAACTAACGCGGATTAATTTATAGGTTAAACAACTTGGCCAAATCTTGCAGCAGGTGGTTATCAGATGTCTTGGTTCTGTTAGAGACCCGCGGGGCGGTCTTGATCTCCTTCGGGATCGGTGAGGTTGGTCTGAGGTTGCATGAATGTATTTGCCTAATTTTGGGGCGATGATAAGTAACAGTCCTACCTACATGTAACTATTCTCTGCGTAGTAGATATGAGCTTTGCATAATCCAGATAAGTGGAACGTGACCGAGAATCCGGTTCAGAATCTGTTTGCTTCTATTATTCTCGTGCCCTATTACAGATACCAGAGTGGTGATATATCAATTTCAAACTTAGGTGAATGACAAGACAGGACAGCGATTGCACAATTATGCAGATTTGAGGATCTGAAACAGAGCGATTCTAGCAGCCTCTGCAGCATCCCAGATCCAAGTGGAACGAATCATCTTGACCACATCGTCACTTCGTTTAGCCTCTTGTTCCTTGTCACGAACTGCCTTCACCTCGCCATCTCCTCGGTACGCATATTGTCGTGCCTGGGTAGTGGCTGCTTGTATTTCGAATACGCGGCCTTTCCGAGAAGTCTCATATGCCTCAAGAGCCGCAGACAATTGCTGTTTACTTTGAATCAGTGACAAAACGGTCGTGATTGCAGTAACATCCTCCACCGCCTGTGCTACTCCTTGACCGAGATATGGACTGTAGTTATTATTATTATTCAAAGCAGTACGTATCAGAAAGAGGAAATAACTCACGGCATGGCATGACAAGCATCTCCAAGCAGTATAACAGCTCCCCTGACCCAGCCTGGCGAGGGGGAATGAGCCAGGATCCTAAAGTTTGGTACCTCGTCTGGCGCTAGGTCTATCAACTTCCGGAGGGCAGAATTCCATCCTTGGAACTCGGCAACAACATGGCGCTTCTCAGTCCTGAACGTCCACGATTCTTCGGCATGCTCATCTGGATGAATGAGAACCACGTTCAGAAGCTCATGATTGTGAACAGGGTATGCCACGGAATGGCCACGAGGTCCATCCCACCGCTTTATCCAAGGGTTTTGTACTAAGGCCAGCAATTCCTCGTCTTTCTCCAGAAGCTCTCGTGGAATAACCAGTCGATATGCAGCATCGCCAGTGGGCTGCGCCCGCTCTATTTTTGACGGGCAGACCTTCCACTTCAATTTAGAGCCGACCCCATCTGCGATTATGATTAGATCGCCGCCAATTCGTTCTCCTGTTGCAAGCACGACCTCGGGACCATCCGTATCGACGTCGATAACGCGGGAATCAAATCTGATCTCGACATTATCCCGTTTTTCAGCTCGCGAGGTAAGCGCCAATTTCAAGTCTCCGTGGAGAATGGGAAACATCCTCTTCTCGGGAGGAAATGCTGTTCGAGCAATTGCTTCACCGGTGTCCCAACGTCTACTTTCGAATCCCTCCGCAGCACGACATGCTGAATCATCCGCCGAAAGCACCTTTTCTGCTGAACTGAGAGGTTAGAGAATGCCCAAAACGAAAAATTCTCCAATAATATGCCAAATACTCACATTCATACCATTGTTTAGCCGCCGGCGCCAAGGCAACTCCAGCACCTAGAGATTGAAGCTATAACTCTTAGCATCGACCATCAAAAAACAACTACTTTCGGAAATTGTCTATTCCGTAATTCATACCTCTTTTGTAGACTCTAGAACTAGAATTGAATGGCCACGTCTGCCAAGCGAGATAGCTGTGGAAAGACCTGCAATACCTGCGGAGAGCTCAATTGTTAGTCAGAGCCGCGTTTATGTCAAGGAAAGAACTGTACCGGCACTGCTTTCGAGTTAGAAAATGGCCGAATTCTATATGAGGGCTATAAACGTTATAGCCTGAACAGTAATTTACTCACCCGACAACTAAAATTCGGAGGGGAACAAGACAGAGATCCGCCGAAGATCTTGAACTCATAGTTACAAAAAATTCCCATGAAAGTTGAGCAGTGAGCAAGATGCTTGTTATACCATAATTGAAGGAATGTTTCAATCTAGCGCGCCACGAGTAGAGAGGGCTTCTGCAGACAGGGCTTGTGCGAACAAGGCACATGGAAACATCGGAAAGTAGGATATACTTTCCCCGTCACGATTTTACGTGATTTTATGAGGGAAGAAAGGGGTGTGACGATATAATTAGATGTGCACACACGAGTAAAACATGGCCTGAGAAATAGGCACTTAAAACGCCATCCCAACTCCTGCAGCTCCGTCATTGCCGCCGAGACTTGAATCCTGAAACAAAGGTTCTTGGTTTCTCGGTACTTCGGAACCGGGGACTTCCTGTCGCGGAGATAATACCTAATAAAATAAGTAAGCTTACTGACGTGTGGTGATCCGCCACCCGTCCCGTGTCTTGGAAATTTCTGCAATATACTGGTCTTTTGGTAAATAATCGCACCCTTGAGGGTTTTGGTGACAGCCTCAACTGGGGTAGATAACCAATACGAAAGGCAGATTTGGCGTATTTGTGGGGTCGAAAGTGCTAGAAGCAGGTGCCAGGGGTGGAATTATTTATCCCGAGACCACAGATCACAAGCGGACAGGGAGCAGTAGACGCACCAGCTTGTCTTTGTAGTAAAGGCGACCATATTTTACTGTGCTGTTGCCGGGGAGGCTTTTACACCTAAAAGTTTAATAGACAGGGCGTGCACGTGCTTTCGCTTTTGCAACACCCCGTCTGACATAGCTGCGCATACAGGTAACCAATCTGATGTGTCCACCCTCTTGTGTCAAAGCGAGGAAGACGATTTACCTGATCAGGGGTAACAAGGGTAGATATATACTTCCTATCTCGTACGTGGAATAAGTATTACATTGTGCCGTATGTAAACAGCATGGGTTGTGTGTGGTTTCCTTTAGATATCGCATTTTACCTTCCCAGCTCATGCTTGATGCAGCTAGATTTGAAGCCTCCAAGTAATATCCTTGACGTCGAGTACCCACTGTCCTTTTGAAGGTAGCCATGGTGAACACAAACATTCTCTCTATAATTCACTTATCCACGTACCCCACGCTTAGAATTCAGACAGTCCCCTACAAAACCCCAACTACTCCAAAACAAGGGACCTTGGCCAAACATGTCGATGAATTTGCGCGAGTATGCTGCCCATGTCTTCGCGCATGCTGAAAAACTGCAGTCGTTTCTGGACAGTCACGGCGAAAAGCTTGGATTTGAAGCCGATGCTCGCCCCTCTAGACACTTTCCTCAGGAGCTCCAAGAATCTCGAGTTGCCTTGATGTCGGCATGTCAGACCATGTATGATCTCGTGGAAGGCGCCGAATCTACGATGCTCTGGTCACCACTCGCCGCAATTCATGATGTTGGGGCTTACAAGCTTCTCTATCATTATCGACTCTGGGAGCTGGTACCTGAACATGGAACAATCTCTTACGAAGCCATGGCCAATCCATTAAAGTTAGAAGTCAAACGTCTGACAACCTACGTCCGACACCTCATCACCAGACGCATTTTTCTCGAACCAGAGCCCAACAGAGTTGGACATTCGGCGGCATCGCTCTTCCTTGCACGCAATGAAGGTTCACAATGCTGGCTTGGTGCTTGTACCGATGACATGCCAGAAGCTATACAGGCATTGCCAGAGACATATGATATCCACGGGCTCGTCCTAGACACAAAACTTAGCCCTTTCAACATCGCTCGGAAAGATAATTCTATGGGTGCCATGGCACTTGTCCTAAGTGACAAGCAACGTGGACCTCGTTATTCTAAAGGGCTTGGATGGGTAGCAACGACAGAATCTTGTTCCAGTGAAATCATTTTGGATTCTTATCCTTGGGAGCAATTCGGGCTCGTTGTTGATGTAACGAAGAGAATACCCCATCCATTATGTTTGTCTGGATTCCCTAGCTGATTCTAGATAGGTGGGAGGTGGCGATGGAAATTTCAGCTTCAGCCTAGCCAGAAGATATCCCAAAATGCGCTGCATCATTCAAGACATCGCTGCTCAAGCTTCGTACTTCAAGGCTCCCGCGGATATCGCCCATCAACTAGAGTATCAGGTGCATGACATCTTCACGCCACAAAAGGTGCAAGCGGATCTTTATGTTTTCAGAATCGTCTTGCATGTCTTCAGCGACGACGAGCAAGCCGCCGCTCTTTTGAGAAATGTCCTTCCGGCGATGAAAGAAACATCGCGAATTGTGCTGGTGGATATGGTGCTGGATCCTAATTACCCAATTGCCTGGGCTCACAAACAAGCGTATGCAAATACATTTATACCTTATAACACTACATAATTACCTGAGATACACATGCTAAGTAAGAAACCAGGGTGTGCAACTCTCAAATGACCGACTTGGTTGGGAAAGACCGAACGGCTGAAGACTGGGCTGAAGTAGTCCGGTTGGCTAGCCCAGACCTCGAGCTTGGAAGGATTTTCTCAGCCGCTGGCAGAACCTGGTCTACCATTGAAATTGTTCGTAAGGGAACACAGTTGTGAACCACAAGGGGATGCTAGCAAGATGATAGATGATCAGTTGCAATGAAAATATGGATTCGAATTCTTGAGATTAATATTGTGTGATGGAGACTGAACGCAAGCTTGCTCCTTCTTTCCGAGGGGACTTGGGTGGTGCTCGGTGGATGTTGGCAATGCTCAGATGGTATCATTTAAACGCTCTGCAAAAATAAATTGGACTCCCATTGAACCTGCCGGTTGTCATACAAGTGATTCTGCCCTTTTTGGATTGGCTCAGCTGCAGAGGAATATAAACCCTCCGCTGCACCGCACTTCTTGTACTTTAGACATCTCAATCTACATCAACTTTACCTTCATATTTGAAGCCTAATTACATGCCAAATACTGCCTTATTCATGCAATTGTCAGAAACTCGTGGGTGCTGGACTGAAGGCGAATGGAAGTAATGTGCATTGTTCAAAATACCCAATTCCAGACCGTTCAGTTGGTAGGAGGATGCTGTTCGTGCTCAGTGGACAGGGCAGCTGTTGCCAAGTTGGGCTAGTCCGCTAGAGCCATCCAATGGGACAGCTGGAAGCGTGCTCCTACGGAGGTTCTCCGTGCTCACTGCTTTCGTAGCGGGAAAGCCAAATTCGACTTCCTTCGTTTCGAGACACGGGCTTCACAGTGCCCCTGCCCACCCCTGACCTCCTTTCCCCTCATGATGGCGGTAAGGACCCGTAAAAGGCTAAGGTTTCATAACCTAACAAGAAAGGGGGAACCCGCTGCGCCCAATAGTCCGCATTTGCGGCTGGAGGGGGACTATCCAAATGAACGCTCACGCTGACGCAGAAATAACAATGACGGGTTTGAAAATTAGGAATGCTCACGGGCAGCACGGGCTGCATACAGTGCACAGGTTGTCAATCAAACCAGGTGTAAGATCGTGCAGCGACATGGGCACATCGGATGACCAGGTGCGCTGATTTTAGCCCGTTAGAAATCTTCTGCGAGCTGACACTCTCAGGGCCCTAGGCTCTTAGGGCTGACGAGAACGACCTTGAAAATGGCTGCGGCCGCTGTGCCCGCCCGCCCGCTCGGCATTGACATCGACTGTATACATCCTAAGAACTCGACTCTCCTCTCGCCCGCTCACTTCGATTACGCATTGCAGGTCCATCGTCATTTCTTCATATCGTATATAATTCTTTTGCCCCCCCAACAAAACTGTTGCCAGCGGCAGCGAGATCTTGAGCTTCAAAAATTATTTAGCCATGGATCCCTCGTCGCTTCCCCCGAACTTTTACGATGAAAAGCCGCAGGCCAACTATCAATCAACAATATATGGAGTGTGCTTCACCCTTGTGGTGTGTCTTCCCCGTGGCGATAGTATTCGCTTACCGCTAACCAATCCGCAAAGGTTTTGTTGTGGGTGACGACCAGTCTGCGATTGTGGACTCGATTTCGCATCGTCAAATCTCCAGGATTGGACGACCTGTTCGTAGTGCTTGCTGTAGTGAGTCCTATCTCTCACGTTACCTACCAAGACTAAGGGATCTGTGGCTGACCCTGTTCGTTGTAAGATTCACGTTAGTATGGGCGCAATAGCAACTTGCGTAGCGACGAACTTCGGCTTGGGCCAGCACATTTATCTCCTTACACCTCAGCAAATCCGAAGTTTCTTGATATGCTTCTATTTGATCGGAGTTTCATATGTATCTTCGACCGCTCTCATCAAGGTCTCCCTTTTGTGCCAATATTTGCGCATCTACGAACCCGGTACACACACTTACCGATTTACACAATTTATGGCGGTCGTCATTGGACTCTGGGGGTTCGCTTTCGCCTTCATGGGCTGGTTCGGCTGCTTTCCCAGCCCCGCTTCTTTCTGGAATGGGACATCCAAGGGCTGTTATGCTTCCTTTTCGCCAGACCCTCATGTGGCTGTGAAAACAATCGAGGGCCATTCTGGTGTCAATGTGGTTTTTGATTTCATTGTTCTGGCGATTGCGTTTCGACTCCTGTTTATGAAAGATGCGCCGGTAAATGGCAAGGGCTTAATGGCGTTGCTATGTATGGGAGCCGTGTAAGTACCATCCATACTCTTTTGCGAGTATTAACTAGACGCTAGTTGAGTAATTACATCTATACTAACCGTTTACTAGGAGCTGCAGTTTTGGGGTCTGGCGTCTCGCTGATGTCGTTGTGGCTCAAGCGGGGAAGTCATCCACAGATATCACCTGGGCCGAACCGACGGTATTCCTGCTCTCCATTGTTGAGGTCTGCATAGCGTGCCTTGTTGCCACTATACCCTGCTTCTGGCCCATTATCAGGGTGGGGCTAGACAAGATCTTTGTGATGTATGAGTTCAATGTCTCGAGTGAGTCTCGATACCATGACGACCACGTCGAGCTGGCCCCCACGACGTCTTGGGAGGCAGGGACAAAGCCAACGGGTGGCAAGGAAGACGTTAGATCGCTGGAGAGCATGTCTGGAGACACCGAGCTCAGTAAGGCGTCAAACCTGCCGCATTACAGAAATGACTATATCCAAAACCACGTAGACCCCTTTGGAGAGGAGTTTCAAACAGAGGCAACTGTCCAGGTCGGCCGCCAGACTAGTAAGAAGAAGGGGAGAGCTCTTCCAGCCGATAGCGCGTTCTGAATAGGGCTTCTCGGTCTTTAGGGACAAAAACGGGAAAGGATTGTCAATTGGGATTCTGGAAGTCCCTTCATTGTACTACGAGCTCTAAATGGTCAACAATAAAATTCAAACTGACATGTACAAATTCCTAAGTGAAAGTGTTTATATCTAAACAAATTACAAGAGTCCGGTTACCGTGCAAGTCACGTAGCTCTCTGCCAGCTTAGCGCACGTGTATCTAGGCTAACAATTCGGAACAGGATTTCCAAGACATGCTTTTCGAAAAACCCACGCCGGAATCGTATAGCGTAAGGCGCGGCCCAAACGGGTGCAAAAGATTTGTTTTACAGGTAATATGTGAAGAGTGGAGACGGCCTGAGCACACACTGAGATTCCGATTTCTCTTGGGACTCATTCTAGTTTGAAGCCGGGAGGGTGTGGAGGCTCAGAATACGGAATGGTCCAATCTGGTAACTAATAAGCAGATTTGGAATAGTCCCTGATTCCGCGGAAGCGTTGTTCCTGGATTGATGGGATCAATGTCCGCGAGGTGGGGTGAGTGTTCGTACTGGTAAATTTACAGTCTACTTGACTTGCGAAGTAATTGGAAGCCTAACACTGAGGCTAACTAGAAAGGCAGTGTTTACGAACGCCCTGTACGCCTGGGTGTCTGCTTCTGTAAATCTTACCCCCCCACTAAATAAAAGTAAAAAGTGGGCCCTTCGCACAGACGTTGTATTTCAACCTCCAAAACCCCCCGGTGAAAGGACCCACTTTTTGCTTTTAATTAGGGCGAGAGTAGGTAAGTAAACGGAGTAACCATTCCAGCCCCTTGGAGAGATCGAACATGCGAGAATCAGGAGTTTGTAATAACATTTAGCAAACGAGATCCTTTATTGTCCCCATACAGAGTATTAACGATTGCATGCTAGAAACCCGTTTTTGATTGGCTTATTCGTGATCTGATACGAGATACCAGCGGCAAATACTTCCCCCTCGGCGTAATACTACCCTCCCCCCTTGAATAATTACGAGTTCGTCCTTTGGTAACGCCACACTGAAACTTCGTCAATATCCCCGAATTAGGAAATATCAGGTGCTTTCGAGAACTGCTATTCGCTATCCCTTCGTCCGCTGAGACATTGCCACATTAGCGGCCGCATATCAATATCCCTAATTCGGCCAAAACATAATCCAAATTAGGGATATTCATGTGCGGCCGCCAATGTGGCAATGTCTCAGCGGACGAAGGGATAGGCCCTTGATTGCGTGCCTTTAGTGGTGTGAATCGTGGCATGAGAGTGTGGCGAATATTGGACCCACTCGAAATTGTTCAAGGGGCGGGGAAGGGGCGGGGGGGGATAGTAGATAGTTCCAAAATATTTTCTGGAAGATTCTGCGTTAATTGGCAAACCAGCCATAGAACTCTTGAATTTTGCTGGGATAGTACCTCTTAAGGTAAAGCAGATCTTTTGTGTCTTGGAACTACTTTATTATGCCTGCTACGAAATAAACCTCGTTTCCGAATAAAAGCTTGAAGAGGGATCGGCCAATTTCCCCTGCCTGTTACATTGAACTGCGTCTTAGGTTTCAAGTTCCAGCTTATCCTGCTATACGAACCAGTCTCCCCACTGTTCTCTTGGACTGATAAGCCGGCTTACTGCAGGAAGCGACAAGAAGCCAAGAGCTTTATTTAATTGGCTGAAAATGTGGAATATGCAAGTCGGGAACCACCAACTTTGGTGGCACCAAGTTAAAGGGGGCGGACGCATCGGATTGGACTCATGCAAGGTGATCATATGTCGCTGTGCTGTTGCTATAGAGGCTTTTACACCCAAAAGCGTAGTAGACAGGTTGTGCACGTGCTTTCACTATAGCAACACCTGTCTCCGACATATAGCTGCACGTACAGAGTTCAATCCGATGTGTACCCCCTTTACCAACGCTTGGAAGTCGGAAATTAGGATTGGTTGATCCTCCCTCAGCTTTGATGTGGCAAAACATGATTTTCCCAGGCAAGGGTTCACGGGAAACAAGGTTGACCACTGCCCCTCCCGGAGCATTGATAGCCTTTTCCAAAAAAAAAAAACAAAAAAAAAAAAAAAGGCAAAAGAAAGTGGAGGTCATCTGCCGTGAGGTGCCATTGGTATTCGCACAAGGCCCGTGAGGACCCATTGTAAGCAACCAACTACAATTCACACTGACACTTCTAAGAGAAGTGATTGGCTGATGAGCGCAAACACTTTGCGTATACGTATGGCACCCTACTGTACTGTATTGTTCCACGATGTGAGGCCCGTGAGCGGTAAGAAATTAGTGCCGTTAAGTTAGATGCGGCTGCCTCTATGCGAGCACCCCTCAACGTTGTGTTAATGGAGTACTTGTTAAATATCTAGATTATCGTTTTTCTCATGATTCTTTTGATTTTGTACCCTACTTTTGGCTTTTCCTGACACTCGAAATCGAAATCTACTGCCCCCCAATTTCCTTCAAACCCCAACGCATCATGACAAAACTATGGGCTGACCAACCATTCAAACTCATCCCAACTCCGACAACGACGGCGACAGAAGGAGTAGGAAAACTTGCTCCGCCCTTTTATATTACAGAAAGCTAACCAGTTACAGCTCTCAAAGGAAGTAACTGAGGTGGCGACTGAGATGTGTTTGGCGCACAACGTGATGGTCCGGAACCTGAATGCAATCCACCTCCAGTGCGAACAGGTTACCAAGCCCGAAGACGTGATAGATTTTATCCTATTCTGCCAGACGTCACTCGAGGAGATTCACACCCACCACGCAGCAGAAGAAGAACTCTTTTTCCCACAGGTTGCCGAGTACACGGGCGAGAAAAACATCATGGAGGTGAATATCACACAACATCACGCGTTTGAAAAGGGTTTGAAGGAGTTTGAGGAATATATCTATAAAGCCACACCTAAGACTTACGATGGGAAGGAGGTGAAGAAAATGCTCGACCGGTTTGGCGAGATTTTGGTAGTGCACTTGAGCGATGAGATCCAGACGCTGCTTGCACTAGATAAGTATGGAGGGGAGAAATTGGGGCCCATTTGGGCGCAATTTAACAAGAAAATCTTAGCCCAGATTAAAGATATGGTGCGTTATCTACTATCTTTGGCCATGGATCGGGGAAATTCTCACTGACTGTTAATTTCAGCATCGTGTGCTTCCCTGTGCTCTCGGTGCCGTCGATAAGACATTTGAGGGTGGAAAACATAACTTTCCTCCTTTCCCGTGGTTTTTGCCATACTTGGCCAAGTATTACTATGCTAAAAAACACAAGGGAAGCTGGAGATTTAGTCCGTGTACGATGTTTGGAATTCCAAGACCGCTTGAGTTTGCGAAAGATGTAGAATAGTTGGCCCACCTTCTCTTGTTTCGCTTCGTTCGCAGTCTGGGAAAGCCGCCGTTCCTGTATACTATGACACCTGGGTCATATTGTTTGATGAAGGAGAAACGAAACTGGGTGTTATTTAACTTGAATCCTATCATCTCAATTCTCGTCTTCGTAACTAGCGCTCCAGATGAACAGCGTATCGCCTGTGTGAACAGTATGGAGTGAGGGGTGTGGCAAAATACGGGAACGAGAGAACGTATTGCTGGACAAGGCATTACCTCTGGACCCTGCGGTAGGTCTTTGTCTCCTAAAGCATCATACTAAAGAGGGGGTAAACTTCATACGAGATACTAATATCTTAGCCACGGATTTCCACAACTCGCTCAAAAAAGCGTAATCGAGACTGTACCTTGGTAAGGAAGAAGTTTTTTATTATACCATCTATATCTTAAATTCTTTTAATATATATACTCATTCTCGCAAAAAGAAAATTAATATATTATAACCCTTCGTACTCAACTAGTACTATATATAATGTCTCCTTATCCCTATTCCCTCTTTTAAGTATAAGAGAAGTAGCTAGTATAACGGCGGGATTGATATAATAGACGAAGGCTTAAAGTTTAAAGAATCTCATATATTAGAAAATACTAAGCTATAGAACAAAATAGAAAGGATATCTCGACCTTTAGTATTATTCCGCCTAAGTAATTCCGGCTTAGCTTTATTTTATACCTGTTTCCGATATCCTGTCCTTAGTAGATTATACCTTTATACCAGCTATTATATTGCCCCCCCCCTAAAGAGAAGTCTAAATACCCTTATTTAGGGGATTATTCAGCCGTAATATAGAAAAGAAAAAAGAGGAAATAATGGCCATTAATTCTATTTGGTCCAATTCCTATAGCTTACTTATAATCAAAGTATAGTCTTAACTCTACTAAAATAACCCAGTTCCTAGTATATTCGGGCCAGTCCTTAGTATCCGTTACTTATATTATATCTATACCCATATTAATAATATAGTCTGGGAGTACTATATAGGCTATAGCTAATATTAGAACTATTATTATTAGATAGTTTTTAAATAGGAATAGTAGATTAATTCTATCTATTAAGGCAGGCTTTAATATAATAGCCTCCTTGCCTTTCTTCTTAGTTAGGATAGTAATATTTGGCTTAATTATACTACTTCTAAACTATTTAATTAATTTCTGGGTTTTCTCGAGTTTAATATATATATCTTTAAATTAGTTCTCTATTTTAGTAATTTATATATTAAGGCTAGATACTTAAACTATTTTATTATTAAATTCCCGGGCCTTAAGCTCTATAATTTTGGTTTTATAAGAACTTCTAAAAGGTTTTCCGACTTCCCGAATAGTATTATATACTAATTTATTAATATTTATAGAATATTACTTCTTTAATTTAGCCTTTAGAATTATTTACTAGCTTTTGGTTTTAGACTAGTACTTTATATAATAACTATTACTTGATATTATATATCTCTTAGTTATAATAGATATCTTAATATTAGTTTGGCTACTTTTACTATAGTTAGAATTTCTTTTATTACTAGAATTCTCTCTATTCTTAGTCTTTTTATTATTGGAATTCTTATTATAATTCAATGCCTTATATTTCTTAAATATACTAGCCTTATTTTTATTAACCTTTTTAGTATCTAATTTAATAAGGTTAATAAGATAGTTCTTATTAGTATTATCTATTTTGCCTATTAGATTATTAGGCTTATTATTACTAGTAACTAAAGCCTTTATTTTATTATTCTTAAAGTAATATAGGTTATATTCTATATATTAACCTGTTCTTAAATAAGAGAAGTACTATTTTTATTTATAAAAGTAGTTTGGCTAGTAATTATATTAATAATAGTTATAATTATTAAACTTAAAATACTATTACTATTATTTAAATTATCTAGGATCTAGTAAATAGCCTTATTTAATCCGGCTATAAATAATATATTATCGGAATTTCTTATTTGTTTTATTTTTATTAATAGTTCTATTAAAGTAATAATAGTAGTATAAATAGTTAAAATTATAAAAGTTAAAATAATTAGGAAGATTTCCTTTAATTTTTAATAATATTTCGAACTAATATAGGTAAGTATTTACCTTTAGCTTAGTTTTGAGAATTTACTTTTTTTTTATAATTTATCTAGGTAATAAAGTATAATTTAGTATAGTAAAGAAAGATATTTTATTTAGATTTCTGGAAAAGAAAATAGGTACTAATATAATAAAATAAAATAAATATATTAGAATTTAGATAAAACCCGGGAAATATCTAGGTTTTTCTTTTTTCTTCTAATTATAGAAGCTTTATTATTAAGGTTTATTATTATCTAGGTAATTTTTATTAAATTTATTTTCTTTAGTATACTAAATCTATTTATTTAGCTAGATAGAAAGTTCTACTTTATTAGAGTTCTATTTATAGAATTTATAGAATTTAAATACTAAGTTCTTAAAGTTTAATATAAAGTACTATTTATTATCTATATCTTATTTCTTCTATTTAATCTTATAATAAAGCTTATTATAAAGTATTTTTAAAAAAAGAATCTTTTCGACTTTTTATTCGAGTTTATTATTAACTTTAATAGAACTAGATTCTTTATTAGTTTGGCTAAATAATAGATTAGTAGAATTTTTATAAAACCTATTTATATAGAAGATTAGCCAAATCCTATATAATAGAAAAAGATCTAATTAATATAAATAACTAACTATTTTATTAATTTTAAATAGTCTAATAAAGAGATAATCTAATTTATTAAATAAATAATTCGTTTTCTATATCTTTTTAATTATATAAATTACATTTTCTAGACTAAAGTCTAATTCTTACTATTTCTTATTAGCTTATTTGGTTTAATACTTTTGAATTACTATTATATATTTTCGGATATAATTAATAATAGTATTAATTCTTTTAGCCTATTATTATATTTCTTTCTAATTAAATTTCTTTTTTAGTATTTTAAATTTTATTATTAGTAGTATTTAGTTAAAGTTTAGCCTAGGTTTATATTTATAATCGACTATTAAAAGAAATAAGCCAGTTAATTTATATAAGCAAATAGTATCTATAATATTAAATACCGGAAATAAATCTATTTAATTATTTTAGAAGTAATTAATAAAAAAATAAAGTCGGGTATTAATAATCTAGTTAATAATTTCTATTTACTTATTAGTTTAGATATATTTTATAGTTAAGAGCTTTAGCTTAGTTCTAGTTAATCTTAATAGTTTATTTATAAAGTTTAAAATAAACTAGAGTTTTTAATTATTTATAATAATAAAAAAAACCTCGGAATTACTAAATATAATAATAGAATAGGCTAGTAATAGTTTTAGCTATAGTATTCTTAGTTATTAGTAGACTTATATATTATTTAAATAATTAATTAATTATAATAAATATATTATTATATTTCTTATTTATAGAATTAGAAATATAGAAATTTATAAATAAATTATTCTATATTTTTAAGAGAACTAGTAATAAATATAATAGGCTTAATATTTTATTTCTTGGTTTATAAAACCTTTAATATTTATAATAATTTATTATAAAATAGTTAATATTTATAAAGAGAATAAATTATTAATAAAGTTTTTAAACTAGAATTCTTATCTTATTTTAACTAGAATATATAGTAATTATTATATTATAGATTTATTATAAGAGTCTAGTTTATAGATTATTATATTTATTTAATATAATGAGTCTTTTATTATAAAATATATAATTATTTAATATTTCTTATAAATCTGTATTTTCTCGGGCTTTCTATTATAATTTCTAAATATCTAATATCTGAAATACTTTACTAAATACTAGATATCTCTTAAATATATATAATACGGCTGCCTTACTAGGGAAATATACTTGAAATATACTAGAGATATTTAGAAAACTAAGCCCCTTCGGGACTAGTATACTATAGGATATATATACTTTCTTATAGCCTCCTATATTCTAGTTTTCTCTTTCTTAGCTTTAAATTATCTTTATAAAAGACCTTTTACTTTATTTTCTAAGCCCTAAATATTATATTCGTAATAATATTTAAAGCTTATTTCTTTTAATTCTATAGAGGATTTCAAATAAACTAATTTAGAACTATTAGTAATATAAGTACTATTAAGATAACGGAATCTCAGAAATATAAGTAATAGATTCCAGAATAATAAAAGCAAAAAGCTTTAGAACTCTTAAAGGAATTAGGTATTTATATTTTTATAAATATATACTAGTAATATATTAGAAATCTCTCTAAAAACCCGAAAATTAAAGAATCTTAAATAAAGGCTATTCTTTAACTAAATTCTAGAATAATAGGTATCTATAGGCTAATAACCTAATTATTACTCTTAAGCTCTATCCTATAACCTTATAGGCCCTATATATATACTAGTAATAAGATTACTAAAAAGAATATAATAAAGGAAAAGTATAATAAATTAATTTTCTAGAATATTATATAATTAGAAACTATATTAACTTTTACTAAGGCTTCTAGTAAAGCTTTTATTAGTTCAGGTTATTCTATTAGTAGCCCTTCCTAAATTAAATATTCTATTAGTATTTCTAGAGAATTTATAAATAAGTTTATAAAAATAGAATTCTTTATTTTTATTATAAAGCTTCTAGAAACTAATAATTATATTATTACCGGAAAGTTATATAAATGAACCAAGAAACCTAATATCTTATTCTTAGATATTAATATTATTATAAAGAGCTATTAGAAAAATATCTAAAAAGCTATTTTATATAAAAATACTTATAGTTATAATAAAGCTATTCTCGAGAATACTAAACTCTATAATACTAAACTCGAGAATAATATTAAATATTATATAACTATAATAGATTAGCTTATAATAACTCTAGCTATTTCCATTTTATTTATTCCGGCTACTTTAAATCTTTCTTAAAAGAATTCTAAACTATCTTTTATTTATTTCTATTCAGAATTCCCTATATCTTATACTTCTTTTAGAAATACTAAAGTTACTAAGCTTCTAGATCTAATTTTCTTTACTAGAAATTATTATAGTATATATTATATATGCGGCTAGTTACGTAATATATACTATACTCTTATATAATA